CATGCCAGGACCGCAGCGACACGGAGGTGGAGAAGATCAAGAGCAGCCTCATCCTGTGCTACGGCCACGTGGCCGTGTCCGCCCCGCGGGAGCTGATCCTGCCCCGCATCGAGGCCGACATCCTGAGGAACATCTTCCAGTACTTCCACACCAAGGTGAGCCCTGCTGGGAGGGCGGGAGAGACCCCCCAGGCCCGGCCGGGATGCCGAGGGTCCCCTAACGGAGCGTTTTTCCCCCCGTTCAGGTTCTGGGGATAAAGGTAGAGACCAAGGTACAGTGTGAGAGGCGCTCGCTCCGCTCTGCTCTTCCCTCTCCGCTCTCTCTGCCTCTTCCCGCCGGGATTTGGGAGGGGGGACACGGGGGAGCTGCTGCTCCTCATCCCCAGGGGGCTTCCCAGCCCCGCTTTTCCGTGCTGGGATCGTTCCCTGAACGGTCCAGAGCTCCCAGCAGAGAGGAGGGGGTTGGGAAAGGCCCCCCTGGCAGGGCGGGCGCTGCAGGAGCTCACACGGCAGGGGGAGTCACCACAGGGTCCCGGGGGTCCTTTCCGGCCTAAATATTCCGGGAATTCCGATCCCGGGGGTCCTTTCCGGCCTAAATATTCGGGAATTTCTATCCCGGGGGTCCTTTCCGGCCTAAATATTCCGGGAATTCCGATCCCAGGGGTCCTTTCCGGCCTAAATATTCCAGGAAATCCAATCCCAGGGGTCTTTTCCGGCCTAAATATTCCGGGAATTCTGACCCCAAGGGTCTTTTCTGGCCTAAATATTCCGGGAATTCCAACCCCAGGGGTCTTTTCTGGCCTAAATATTCCGGGAATTCCAACCCCGGGGGTCTTTTCCGGCCTAAATATTCCGGAATTCCGCAATCCTGGGGGTCTTTTCCAGCCTAAATATTCCGGGAATTCTGACCCCGGGAGTCTTTTGCAGCCTAAATATTCCGGGAATTCCAATCCCGGGAGTCTTTTCCAGCCTAAATATTCCGGGAATTCCAATCCCGGGAGTCTTTTCCAGCCTAAATATTCCAGGAATTCTGACCCCAGGAGTCTTTTCCAGCCTAAATATCCCGGAATTCCACGATCCTGGGGGTCTTTTCCAGCCTAAATATTCAGGAATCTCAATCCCAGGAGTCTTTTCCGGCCTAAATATTCCGGGAATTCCGACCCTGGGGGTCTTTTCCAGCCTAAATATCCCGGAATTGTGCAGTTCCAGGAGCCCCTGAGGTGGCCAGAGGCCGTGCTGGGAGTGACAGTGGGCTGGATTTTAACATTTGTATCTGCTATTTATATGATTATTATTATTATATTCTACCAATTACATGATGTATATGATATTACATTTTCATTTCATTTTTAATTTCAGTTTTCATTTCAGTCTTAATTTTATTTATATTTATGTCCACATTTATATTTTATCTAAGTTTCTTTTTTATTGTTATTCTCCGTTTTTAGTTTTATTCTCGTTTTTAGTGGTTTTCCTGGTTTTGTTTTTATTCTTGGTTTTATCTTTATTCTTGGTTTCATTTTTTAAAATTTTTTTTTTAATTCTTTATTCCTATTTTAATTTTTTAAATTCCTCTTAATTCTTTTCCATTCTTCTTTTTTT